TCGTCCTGACATCCTAATAAAGGTAACCAAGACTATTAGCACATTCACAAATGTGTCGAAGCTATAACACTCTCGTCCTAATGCACGGACAACTGTAATTTACTCTGCGAGTGCAGGTGTGGATGTGGGTGCGAGTACGGTACGGGTGTGCAGATACGACAAATTCTTTAAAAAGTAGGATATAGGTACAACGGGGGTACGCTAATTTTTTATTATTATTTATAATATATAGCTAAACATCTATCATACAAATCAAAGCTTAATATCATAATTTAAAAAAAAAAATACAAAATCAAAATAATTTGTAAATTCTTTCACTTCATTCGAGTATATAATTTTTCAAATATTCAAATAACAATTTAAAACCATCAATATTATGAAAGTAATTACAATAAAATAAATACATCAGAATCAGTTTATGAACCCTGAATTTAAATGTTCCTTTCTTTTGTCTTCTCATATTTTAATTTTTTTTTTATTTTATATAATTCTGATTATGTCTACTACAGAATTATATTAGAAAAAAAAATAAAAAAATCAAATGTTGGACAGATCAGAAAAAATAATCAAAGAAGAGGAGATTGACTACAACAGGAGGTGAGAAAACTCACCGGAAACAAGAAAAATCAGATGTTGGACTGATTTGGTTGTTTGCTGCGAAAAATGAGGGGGGAAATCTGGAAAAAAAAATAAATTCAAAGAAAGAGGAAGAAGAATCGAAGAAGAGGAACTAAGAGAAACTGATCGGAATATCGAGCTTTGCCGTCGACCTGCACCGTCACCTTCGAAGGAGTGTTCAATCGCCGACTGTGTTCTTTCGTCGAACTCGCCGCCTATGATCTTCACTAGAGAGAATTGAATCAAAACAATAAACTTGATTTCAATTTGTGTTATGTTTTTATTATTGCTAAAGAATCCCAAAGTTATTTAATTTTTTAAAATAGGCAAAAAAATTGCTCCGGTACCCTTACAATTGTTGAAAATCTTGTTGTTTACCCTAGCGTATCCATTGTGGACCAGGCTTCTACATATTATATAAAACGTACCTAGTGCGTTTTTGCCATACCGATACACATACTCGTATCCGATTCTTATAAGACAACATTTTTGAAGTACCTGTAGTTCATAGGTGTGTCCTCTCTAAAGAGTATTTGAGTCTAAATTATTTTTTTTTAAAATAAGACACATTTGGATGAGTGTCGGGAAAGTGTTCGATGAGTATCGGTGTCTGACACAGACACACCATCTTTTTAGAAGTGTTTATACTTCTTAAATAATAGTATTAAAACCACAAATATATAAGAAATATCTGATGAGAAGTATTCGACACATATTCTATGCACTTATCCAAGTGTCGAGTGCCTAATATTGTATTTAATAGACTTTGAAGAGTCCGTATAACATAGTCCCCCAATTACATCCCTTTCTCATTACCACATACACCCATGCTCGTCACCCTTTCTCATTACCACATACACCCATGCTCGTCACCCTTGCCACTCCCCTAGCCACCTCCACCGTCCCTAGCCCACCCTCACCGAACGGAACACACTAGTTGACCCAAACCTCTCCAGCCCCTCCCCATCGCCATCCCCTCTCCCCCGCTAAAAAACCAATAAGAATATGTGCAAGTGGCAAGTGTCAAGTGTGCAAAACCCTACACAATTTGCACCTTTCACCTATTGGACTTGCACTTTACTGGTTTTAACAACAATGAAGAGAGGGGTTGCAGGGTGACAACGCGGAGGGGTTGGAGGGTTTTAGGTGATCGCAGTGGCTAGGTTTTGGGCTGACTAGGGTGTTGGGTTGGGTGGGGATGGTCTGGAGGTGGCGGAGGTGGGTGGGGGAGTGGCATGGGTGACGGGAATGAGTTGGGGAGGAGTGGATATGGGTGGGAAAGGGGCGGGGGTGATCAGAATGGGTGTCTCCATCTGTTCTTTGATAGCTATGGCTGTTTGGAGAAGAAAATGAAAGGCACCATGGCAATTTGATCTTCCTGTCTCAAGATTCTTTGCTTTCGTAATTTTTTTATTTTATTCTTCCATTGCTGCTATAATTTTCAAACGGTGTTACTGATTTGTAATATTTTACCCCATTTACCCCATTTGCCACCATCACGTTATTTTTCCATTCAATATGAAACAGGATTGTAGTTTCTACAATAACAATGATGCCCTGGCAGTTATCCATTATTAAAACATTTCACATTTTTATCTTCCCATTATGAAATGGGAGTTAGTTCTTTAAGAATGACCTGCAAAGGGTAGATTTTCTGGATTTCAGTCAGAGATTGTGAAATCATTGTGGCTTCTTGTCTATGTGGATGTATGTGGCCTAGGAAGACAACTTTTGATATTGATGAAACATTTAATTTTTTGAAATTGAAAGAAATGCTTGATTTTATAGCTTGCCAAGAAATATGTGTCACAATCCCCCTATAACCATCTCAGTTTGAACCCATAAACCCCTGGCTTCACCTTACTGAATTTTGTTTTTTCTAATATTTGAAACTTCGTTGCAATAAACTCCCACTGGGGTTACTTTTCTGCTCTAAAACTGTGATTCGTCAATTCAGAAAAGGTGTATAGTTTAGATAATTGTGCTCATCTAAGGGCGAGTGTCATGATATTGGTATTAATGAACAATAATTCTGCTATTTGTTTGTGTCAGTATGTGCTAGGATACCATGGTTGTTAGTTGTCATCAAGTGTTTTTGTATATATATATATGTTTATTATTATTATTATTATTTATGGTTTTTCTTTCTTTTTTCGTAGTTGTATTATCCTATTATTCATATACACCTAGGAAGCACAAACACCGAAACGAAAAATTTCAAAATCTATGGAACACAACATGTGTGGACAGATGCAAAATATATTATTTTATATATTTGTTATGTCATATATATGAATATTTAAGTCAAAACAATATTTTTTAAAGTTTAAAAGAGGAGAATAGATATAAATTTATGTTGTTTTTGTTTTACCATTGAATTCTAAGTTATTTTATTCGAACTTATAATGTGTTTAATGTGTGTTGGTTAATTTCTAACACGTTATTGGACCCGGCATCTTACCTTCTTGGAATTAGATTTACACTAATCTCAATTTCAAAAAGTAATTATGGGTTGAAAGCATAAGATCATACTTATGTAAAAAAAAAAAATTAATGCCCAATTAATACACATTAATGTGTGTTTGAGAGGGGAAAAATTGAGTACACACCTAACCTTTGGCATAATGCACAAAGTGGTGTCTCCAAGACTTGAACCGATAACCATAAAGTTATTAGGCCAAGTCTTATGTATTTAAAAAAATCTTATTCTCTGATACTCGTCATATTATTATAGTTGCTGTTGATTGTTATTAATTCGTCAAGCTTATGGGTATCCGGGTATGACAGAGGAGGCAATTGCGGAGGCTTGCCCTTGTTGTCGTGGAAATTGCAATTGCAAAGCATGCTTGCGTTTAAAACGATGTGTTAATGTCAGTCTTTTCAGCTCCAGTCGTTTCATGCTCTATTGGTGTCTATGATATCCTTAACTTTTTAGTGTTTACTAAATAGTATTATGTGCTCTTTATGACTCATTGTAGAACCTGAATAATTCAGAGTGGAGGAATATCAGTCATGATGACAGGATTTGCCACGCCAAGCATTTACTACATGTGCTTCTTCCATTTCTGAAACAATTCAATCAAGAGCAATTGATGGAGAAGGAAATAGAGGCCAAGGTTCAAGGTACTTCTTTGGTTTCATGTTACATGAACTCTATAATTTGTTTCCAAGCAAAGAGGTAAAGATATCCAGAGGTCACTGCACTAAGTGTGGTGATATGAGTAGAATAATAGATCATGGTTTGTTGATCGGACATGAAAACAAAGAAAAACATTATGGAATTAAGATAATACGCACTTTGCTAATGGATATATCATGGATTTGCCATGCTATTTGATTGAAATTTTCTGTGAAAGTGCTGCATTTTCTTCTATAAGTTCTATTTCACTTTATTTGATTGTTCATTTCATCTGTTGAAGATAAGTATCCTGATTTTGCTGTAAGTTACATATATACTTTATGCTTTCTTTTAAATCAAATTTCAGGGGTTACATTCTAATGGCCATTATGTGAAAATATTGAGGTTACTCATGCTTGTTCCTTGTAGCTTTAACTCTTTTTCTTTTAACTAATATTAATCCAAGACTTTTATAAATCAGGTGATTTGAACAGGATGGTTTTGTGATGCGCATGGTGCAGAACTGTATAAACAAACCCGTAATGTTTTAATTATTTGCTAATTGGATGTTGATTTGGCCAGGGTTATCATTGGCAGCAATAAAGTTACAGAAGGCAAAAACTTTTCACAAGCGTGTGTGTTGGTAGGTTTTAAGGTTTTTTGTCTTTTTTATATGAAATATTTCTTAATTTTGAAAAAGTTAATGATATCACCTATTTTATGATGCAGCACCTACTGTAAAACTTCTATTGTGGACTTCCACCGAAGCTGTCCAAACTGTTCTTTTCGCCTTTGCCTCACTTGTTCTCGGGAGATCCGTGATGGTCACTTCCTGGGAGGTGGGAAGGAAGTAATCTTTCAATATATTGACAATGGACGATCTTGTCTGCATGGTGGCAATGCCTATCCTGTTTTCTCTGGAAAGGGTGTGGTTCAGCACGGTGAAGAAAATAATCAGCAGCAGGAAAGAAGGAGAAACAGCGGGGGTGAAGTAGCAGAGAGGTACACAAAAAACTGCATTTTAATTCCATTAATGCCAACAATTCTCTAATAGATCCTTATACCAGCCCTATATATATACATGTGTAATAATCCTAATATAAATCAAATAAGTAACCAAATCCTGAGAAAACTCTAAAATTCTGAAAAAACTAAGCTTTCAGTCTTTGCCCCTTCGATTTCCATTAGGGCGGAGATTTGGATATATCTGTTGGCACAAGGTCCAAAGATCATGAGAAGTCAACTTCTGAGTGGAAAGCGAATAAAAATGGTGTCATTTGTTGTCCTGCGAGGAAAATGGGTGGCTGTGGTCATCACCGACTAGAGTTAAAGTGCATGCTTCCTGAAGATTGGGTTTCATGCTTGGTGAAGAAAGCAGAGGATATATCTAAAATGCTCAAACTTCATGTTATGCCTAGAACTTCCCTGCAATGGTGCTCCTGTTTCAGTTCACTGGGTGACATAGACTTAGGCAGTGCTAAGTCACATAAAGCATTGGGCAGTGGTAAGTCACGTAAAGCAGCTTGTCGAGAAAATTCCAATGACAACTATCTGTACTGTCCTACGACTAGAGATATTCAACATGGGGACTTGAAGCATTTCCAGCAGCACTGGATCAAGGGTGAGCCAGTGATTGTGAGTAATGTGCTCGAACATACATCTGGTTTGAGTTGGGAACCGATGGTTATGTGGCGTGCATTCAGACAGATGAAACATTTGAAGCATTCTCAGCATTTGGATGTTGTGGCCATTGATTGTTTGGATTGGAGTGAGGTCAGTTCAAGATTTAAAATTGTTCCTTAAGAGTTGAGCATCTAATAAAAAATCTTTGTTGAGCACCATAATCAATATAGTAGCCTGAAAAACTAATGGCATGGTAGTGACATTGAAGATGTTTCCAGTTCATCACATTTGCTTACAAGTTTTTCAATACATTAAAAGAGTAAGTTCACAATTAGGTATCCTTTGGTTAAGTGGAAGTTATGCTAGTGCAACATAACAGAGGGAAAAATGGCAAGCAGATAATATTTTAGCTATACAAAAGAAAGCTACAGAACAATTTTTTTAAGAACACCCCCCCCCCCCCAAAATAAAATTAAATAAAAAATACACATAATAATATCCTTATGCCTAGACTTTTTGTTTTTTGGTTAAGAGAGTTATATTGCCGTCTCTTAAACTAGAAGTCGGCTTGCTGCATGCATTTAACATTAGTACAGCTGATCTGGCCTTTTTATCAAATTAGATATGCTTGGTCTAATCAAGTATGTTTTCTACTCTGAAAAATTAGCAGATTGATAATTTAAGTGTTAATGGTTTTGTTTATCATACATTCTCAAACGCTGGAGGCTGGCCATCACTTGCTTGTGCTTTGTGTTTTTAATTAGGATTAAGATGCTATTATGTTGGTTTGAGTTGCCTAGGGTTATAACTTATAAGAGCTTGACATTGATACATAGATGGTTATTTTAAAACACAAAATTATTTCTACCTTGCAGCAGAAAGTTCTGATGGGAAAGAATTTATCGTGGAGGACCTTGCTACTGCTTTTGTACAAAAAAAAAATTGTTACAGTTTCATCATATGGTGGTAGTGATATGAAGCAATAGTCCCTCCAGAGAAAGATGTTAAAAGCTAGGGTGGGACTAATAGACTCCCATTGGCATTTTGTACATCAATTGAATTAGAGGAGAAAATACATCAAATGGAGAAGGAAACCTTGATTTAGGGTTTCCTCACCAGAAGACTTAAATATGATCTTTTGTTTTAGATGGCTTCTCATCATGTTGTTAAATATGGTTGTTTCTTTTTCTAAACTAAGGTGCTTGATACGTTTACTTTAGAAGCAACAAATTGAGTTGAAAGCAGTCAACTCTGTTTCTAGTCATTTTCATTCTGGAAGTGGTAAATAGACAACTCTTAGTAACTAACAAAAATGCTCTCTTTTTGTTGCAAACATTAATGCAAAAGAGCTTTGCACTCGCAAAAATGAGCAGCAGTATGAACTTTTCCTATTCCTCAACAGTTGTCGAGGCCAAGTTAACAATGATTTACTCCTCTAGTCTTTTGTTCTCTCTGATTACTCTTTTAGCCTTTTGTTCTCTCTACTTGAATCATTGTCATGTTGCTTTTCATTCCTCATTTAATTCTCTGTTTTTACTTTCGATTCCATGTTTCTCCTCATTATTTTTTCTCCTGTTCCAAAGCTTTTTGAAAAATTATCCTACTGTGCATGCTGCAACTAATGTTTTTCATGAATGGCTTGTATTAGAGTACACTGAATCATATGGTGGTAATGATATGAAGCAATAGTCCCTCCAAGGAAAGATGTTAAAAGCTAGGGTGGGACTAATAGACTCCCTTCATAGAAAGCATGGAAATTGAGAAACTACCCCCAAAACAAATTCATATTGGTTTTTTGTACATCAACTGAATTAGAGGAGAAAATACATCAAATGGAGAAGGAAACCTTGATTTAGGGTTTCCTCACCAAAAGACTTAAATATGATCTTTTGTTTTAGATGGCTTCTCATTATGTTGTTAAATATGGTTGTTTCTTTTTCTAAGCTAAGGTGCTTGATACGTTTACTTTTGAAGCAACAAATTGGGTTGAAAGCAGTCAACTCTGTTTCTAGTCATTTTCATTCTGGAAGTGGTAAATAGACAACTCTTAGTAACTAACAAAAATGCTCTCTTTTTGTTGCAAACATTAATGCAACAGAGGTTTGCACTTGCAAAAATGAGCAGCAGTATGAACTTGTCCTATTCCTCAACAGTTGTTGAGGCCAAGTTAACAATGATTACTCCTCTAGTCTTTTGTTCTCTCTGATTACTCTTTCAGCCTTTTGTTCTCTCTACTTGAATCATTGTCATGTTGCTTTTCATTCCTCATTTAATTCTCTGTTTTTACTTTCAATTCCATGTTTCTCCTTGTTATTTTTACTCCTGTTCCAAAGCTTTTTGAAAAATTATCGTACTGTGCATGCTGCAACTAATGTTTTTCATGAATGGCTTGTATTAGAGTACACTGATGTAAAAGAAACTGAAATTTGACAACACTGGCCCTTTTACTTGATATGGTTTTTGATGTTCTTTCCTAGGAGGGTAGGCCCAAATGAAATACCTTCAATAGTATGTCTACTTTAACCCTTTTAGACATCTTTTCATGATTGCTGAAGTTTTCTTTTCTTCTCTATTGTAAGATGAATTTGATAGGCGATTCTACTGGTGTGATGCATTGCAATTTGCAGGTAGAGATTAATATTCATCAGTTCTTTACGGGATATTTGGAGGGCCGATCTGACAGTTTTTCGTGGCCTCAGATTCTGAAATTGAAAGATTGGCCCCCATCTAATGCTTTTGAGGAACGCTTACCTCGTCATGGTGTTGAGTATATCAATTGCTTGCCCTTCAAGGAATATACACATCCACGCGATGGCTTTCTCAATCTTGCAGTCAAATTGCCGGAAGGGACTTTGAAGCCAGACTTGGGGCCGAAAACATATATTGCTTATGGGGTTGCTCAGGAGCTGGGGCGTGGGGACTCTGTTACCAAGCTTCACTGTGATATGTCTGATGCGGTAGGATATGTTTATGAGTTTCTGGTACTGTAGCTTTCACTTCTGGGAAACTCCTATTTAGCTTTTTTGTCATTTTGGTTCTCTTTGCCTTCACAGTTTTTGCGAATGTTGTGTTTGGTTATTAAACATAGGTTAGAGGATAAGCTAGGCACGTAAGGGTCCAAATCTATGTTACATGGACTTGGTTATGGGTATCGGATGCGGATATGTATTTAGAGGTTGTATTTATCAAATCATAAATTTAAGGGTATGTGAATTTGGAAAAAAATAACATATTTTTATATTTTTAATTAAGTATGAGAGATAAAATGGTGTTATATGTAATTATATAACAATATATATATATATATAATAATAATAATAATAATAATAATAGTATTATATATAATTATGTAAGAAGTATTTGTTGAAAAATATCTGACACATATTCCATATCCTTGTTCGAGAGTCGGGTTTTTGATACGGATATTTGATTTATTTTGAAGAGTTTGTGTAACATAGGTTGAAATATGTTTGGCACTAGGTCTGGTATGTGGTAAGGCCATGTTGAGGCAGGCTAGCCGCTCGCTGTCTGTAAAAGAATTTATTACAGGCCTATGGCCAGTACATCTATGGAAATCTCTCTTTCACACACTTTATGTATATGTATTGTGTGCATCTATGGAAATCCCTCTTTTACACACTATATGTATATGTATTGTATGTGTATTTGTATGTCACTTTGGCATGTATATTGATGTTGAAAAATATCCGACACATTCCATATCCTTATTCGAGAGTTGGGTTTCTGACACAGATATTTGATTTATTTTGAAGAGTCTGTGTAACATAGGTTGAAATATGTTTGGCACTAGGTCTGGTATATGGTAAGGCCATGTTGAGGCAGGCTAGCCGCTCGCTGTCTGTAAAAGAATTTATTACAGGCCTATGGCCAGTACATCTATGGAAATCTCTCTTTCACACACTTTATGTATATGTATTGTGTGCATCTATGGAAATCCCTCTTTTACACACTATATGTATATGTATTGTATGTGTATTTGTATGTCACTTTGGCATGTATATTGATGTATGTGGGTTTCTGTGCATCTTATATGTGTGTGTATGTATGCACATCGTCAATTGATAAAACATAAATGTGAAGTCTGATAGAAGGAATGGCCAAATGCGAATCTAGATCAAACCTAAAACCATTCTAGATGATGAAGGTGACTATCTTGTCTGCATTGGGTTTTAAATTTACTTTTTGGGATAAGAATTTTCATCCAAATTTTATTTTCAGCCACAAGTCCCAATAATTCTGAAAGAAACGACAAAAATTAGCAATTTGAGTGTTGAGGTTCTTAAATGTTAAATTGAAATGAAATTCTCTAGTGTTCCCCTGACTTTGCCCCCTTTTTGGTCATGGAGAAAAACGGGTTTCAGTATTTCTAGGATGGTGGAATGGAATACTTGTTAAGGCCCCACTGAAGTGAACTAGATTGACTGGTTATTGTTTGCTTCTTGGATCATGGGCGGAGCTATTAAGGGGATAGGCAGGGCCAATTGGCCCTATTGAACTTTGGTAAAATTCTATTTTTACTTGAATTTTTTTTAAATTGTTTTCAATTTGCTTGCTCTGAGATTTTATTTTTGCCCTTGAATCTTATATTTTTCATTTTTTTCCTTTATATTACTCATTTGTTATTTTGCTAGCTAGGCCTTTTTTTATTGAGCAATGATGTTTTCTCTTTTCTTTTTTATCTTCTCCCAAGGGGAGTATGAGAGGTTAATAGTGCGGTATGAATATCTTTTTTTAATTTATTCATTTATTTTTATTGTTAATAAATTTGCTTCCCTCATTTCTCTCTTTCCTTTATATATATATATATATATTATTTATTTATTTTTGTACTTTCTATCTTGTTTCTTGACAACACCATTTTCTTTTGTGACAGTGAACTTGTCTTTTTGTGCTATCTCAAAAATCTCAAGTGATGCATGTTCTTCAATCACTTTAGTTCTCTTGCTCGTTTAGTTTTGTAAAATTAAATTTGGTGATTGAACTATAGCATGTTCACTTATTTCACTTATTTTTGTTTATGCTATATTAAATTATGCTTCTAATTTTATTATCATTTAAAAATATTTACTTCTTTTGATTGTCAAGTAAGAAAAAAATTTCATTTATAGTTCTAGACATCTAGGTAAGATTTTGGCCCCACTGAACAAAAATCCTAGCTCCACTCGTCTTGGATATACTATGGGAAGGGAATTGTACGGACTGTATCCATATGGATTGGAAGATACAGCCGTTCTAATGTCATTTAATAAACATTACCTAACCGTAATTTTGTTTGTAATTTTATATGTATGGTGCCTGTTTTTTAATCTTGTAAATACCTGAAACAAATGTATAAATATTTTCAGAAAATTTATGATGTTTTCATCAAAACTATTATGCCTATAAATGGCCAAAATGCATGCTTACATCACTAACTTTAAGTTTGTGGCAGGCATACATGGCTTCTAAATTCTCCAATGTTTCTACATTGGTGAAGTAGTTCCTTATGCCATCAATTCTTTCCCTCTAGGGAGGCCCTTAAAATTAGTGATTTTCTGTTTCAGGTGAATGTATTGACGCACACAAAAGCAGTGACTCTTAAACCAGAACAGCTTTCCAAAATAAAGAAGTTGAAACAAGAGCACTTTTCCCAAGATCAGAGGGAATTTTTTAAAAATGGTACTAAAGTGTGCCAAAAGGTCGAGAAGCAGCAGCTTTCATCATTGGTGGAGAACTCCAGATCAGGTGACACTGGTGTTCAGTCAAGTACAAATGCTGCTGAAGCATCTAGCTGCTGTGTAGATGGTAGTGGATCTTGTGAAATACATTCTGATGGTGGACAATATAGTGATGGTATTGACAAGGCAGGTTGTGTAAATGCTAAAGAAGTTGCTGACCAAACCGGTGAAGATGATCTAAATGGTGTTGTGGCCAAGAAGGTAGCTGAAGAATGTGATTCTGCTTTGCCATCAAAAGAAAAAAGCAACAATGATGAGGCTGAAGTAAATGGAACGGCAGGAAAAGGTCCTCAAAGAAGAGGAAGGAAGAGAGGGAAACATGTAGTTTTGGAAAGGAAGTCCAAAAAACTGAGAAAGAAGATAGCTAGTGCAGAACCGGAGAATGAGGAAAAAAACAGCAATGACGAAGAAAGACAAAGGTATTTCAATGGTGAAGGTGAAGATGGTTTCTCTAATATCCAAGGATCTCCTGACAAGGATGGAGACAAAAGTGGGAAGAATGCTGAAACTGTGTCGGAAGGGTTGGAACATGCAGATGGAGGTGGTGCTGTCTGGGACATTTTTAGGAGACAAGATGTTCCAAAGCTGAAGGAATATCTTCAAAAGCACTTCAGGGAATTCAGGCATATCCACTGTTCTCCATTGCAGCAGGTAAAACATTGTCCAATAATAAGTTTTGAGCTATGCAGATTTAAAGCATTTGATTAATGCATGTGATTTTCCATTTTGAGCAACATTAGTTTTCTTTCTGTTTTATCAACCTGATTAAATATTTTTGTAACTGTTTTCTTTAGGACTTCAGAAGTATTAGGGACCTGTCGAAGTAAAACCATTGTGTTTGTTTCCACGCCTGTCTGTTCAAGTTTAAACATATTGCATATATGTGTGTGGGTGTGTAAGTCTGTGAGTATATAACCAACACAATCAGTTACAGGAGAAAAAAGGAGAAAAAAGGAAAAGGTAAATGGATTTGATAGTGATATTAAAAGTTAATTCTTCATTTGAAAATGTGAATAATGATGCTCTTCTTGTGAATACATAGACTTGTTGAGCAGTGTAAAAAGCATCAAATCACTTTCAATTGCTTTTTAAATAGTTAGTATAACCCTATTTTCTTCTGATGTCAGTATAATTTCAACTTCTGGTGTCCTTGTAAACCCTTGTGGGGGTCCTTAAAGTTGGTGAGGCCAATAGTTGGGTATTTGTGATAAGATTCTGTTGGTAACAATAGTAGTAAGGTAAAGGCATAAATGTGAAATACATGGATTTGCTGACACAAGCATCCTCATGTACCATATGCTGTGGTGCTTTATTTTGTTGTAATGGTGTTTCATCTGAGTACACTCATGTTGCCATTTATATATTTTCTGCTACAGGTTGTTCACCCTATTCATGATCAGACTTTTTATTTGACTCTCGAGCATAAAAGAAAGCTAAAGGAGGAATATGGTTAGTTTATTGTTTATCACTTTTTATTTGACTCTCGAGCATAAAAGAAAGCTAAAGGAGGAATATGGTTAGTTTATTGTTTATCGCCCCTAAGGCAGTTTGATTTGACTCTGCATTACTTTGCAGTCATAATTGTCAAATGGATGCTGTAATGTAGGAATTGAACCATGGACTTTTGTGCAAAAACTTGGAGATGCAGTTTTTATTCCTGCCGGTTGTACTTGAAGGTATTGTAAGATATTTTATCTGATTTAAGAGGTTATAAATTTGAAGGGGCTTCTCTTTGAAGGATTGCCTGTAAAATCAGCATATTTACCATTTTCCCAAATTAAGACAACAGCCCATGTCATCAACTATAAAAGTATAAAAGACTGAAGTGGATATGCATAAACATAATTAGCATTAAGATCCTTGTCTTTCCACTTGAACATCCCATCTTCTATGCACACATTTCTCCAATCTGTCTATATCTCATTTGCATTTTAGCTTTAAATACATTAGTCAGACTTACCATTTTGACAATTCTTTACTATATGTAAGAGATTTTTGTGATTCTTGTAGTATCTACATTATTGTAGTGTTATTTAACAAGTGACAACAATGTCTTTTGGCCTATAGGTTTATTTAAAGTGATTGATTGTGGTGACATAAGGATCCTCTTGGATCTTGTGGGATCCATCAAAATGTGATACCTGCTTAGCAAATTGCAATGTCATAAATTGCTTTCAATAGATGATCTTGTTTAGCTCATTCGTTGAGTTCAGAGTTGCTGTCTCAGCTCACATTGTGGAGATGTTTTGGTGTGCTTAAATTGAAGATTTTCGTCCTACAATTGTAAATTCATCTTTCACTGAAAAGATTGATATTTTGTTCTCAACATTTTATCTCTAATCTCAATAGAATAAATTGTTTCATAATATAAGTAAGTTAAGATGTAGTTTTCTGATACCCTTCTTGTTATCTTCGCAGTCATGTATTAAGGTTGCACTTGACTTTGTCTCACCTGAAAATGTTGGTGAGTGCATTCGTTTAACAGAAGAGTTCCGCTTGCTCCCTGAAAATCATAAGGCCAAGGAAGACAAGTTGGAGGTAGACCATATGCATATCATTTACTTCTTTAATGTGATATGGACTCTGTTGGATTGTTCACCCAAGTATTGGAATGCTACAGTTATATGTTTATGAATTCTATTTGAGCTTACTAACCAAATGAATTCTGCAAACATAAATTGGACCAAGTTATCCTTCCCACTAAATCCCATCCAAAAAGTAGAAAAAAATGGTCTCATCCTAATTAAATGTATTTGTTGAGCAGGAGCGGAAGCGAAAATGGTGGCAAGAGCATCATTTGTGAAAATACTTTGTGAGCTAGAGTGTCATCAGAGCGTGTATAGATATGTAATTTAATTTTTTAATACAAAATATATTTATTTAAATTACTTTTATTTATATATGCTCTGATTTATTGTAGAAAATATATGCTGCTTTGTAGGAAAAATGATGATAATTGAATTAAAAATAAATACTTGTAGATATTTTAACAGTTGAAGTGATGGCCTGGTGGTGACCATTCACTTTGGACCTACACTAGACTAGGTTGCAGATTCCAATCTTCAAAATCTATTGCTCTTTAGCATTGGCAAAATGTAACATTGGATTCCTTGTGGCTCAAGTGTAGAATATGGTACACGTGGCCCTCCATTCATTGGTCAAAAGAGGATTAATTTCAAATTTGTGAATTTCACTAAACGAATGTGGATTTGACTTGAATTGACTGACAGTTAATGGATCTGTGGACTAGAATGTGATTTGTTCACCCGTCGGGATGAGTCTCCTCTTCTAAACAATCCAATAAATTATTATTTTCATTAATGGCCAGTTATTTTTAATTTTCAGAAAAAAAATGCTTTTCTTACTATCAAGTTAGACTAGGCAAGGTTGTCTGTTAAAATCATGTTGTAGATAATTGTGATATATTAGTTAATATATTGACCACTACCAAAAGAAAAAATGAAATCAGAACATGTTGAACATTAGGTAACTTATGCAATTTTCTTGTCAACTTTTAATGACTTCCATTCTATGCATCAAGATAGTTACCATGGGAGGAATTAGAAACACATATATGGCATAGAGCAATTTTCTTGTACTGTTTGGCCTATCTGGATTATTATATTACTTAAACTTTGTTTATTATATTCAATATTATCTATTATTACCTTTGTGCATCTTGTGCACTATCTTATGATATTTTGTTCTACTGCATTTATTATTTAATAGATCTCTATGATTGCTTATATTGTTAAAGACTTTCCATTTTTTTTAGTGCTAAGTTCGTAAATTCTGTGGTATATGAGGCTTGCTTCTGTGTTGTGCTTTACATGAACAGGTAAAGAAAATGGCTCTTCATGCTATAAACGAGGCTGTAAATGTATTGGAGAAGCATACTGAGTGAGTATTTTAACCACAATATGCATATGACATTCATTGAAAGATTTGATTTAGTATTTCAGAAGTAAAAAATTGCAAAATGAAGCCTGGTTGGTTGTTTTCTTCTCTGGATCACTTGTGAGGGAGACTAATACTTCTTTTTTTTTTTTGTTTGGTTGTTTGGAGGGGACACACTACCGGCTGCATTGCTGATTCTTGTTCATGAGCAGTACCATTTTAATTAATTTTTGAAGGAATGTGGATGAATTTTTTGAAGGTACGTATGTGCATAGGGGATATTGGTTTTGTTGTTTGGCACTTGTCATCGGGTGAAGCTTGCATGTATAGCGACAGCTCACTGAAAATAGTATAGTAGGTAGTTAAAAGTTGCAGCTGAAGATATCTGCAAGCATTGCTGATGCTATTCTCCTTGGGAGATTAAAGAAAAAACTTGGCACCAGCTGTTTTGTTTTGTTTTGCTCACTCACAATTTCCCCAAAAACTATGGGCTTGGAATTATGGTTACCACATTCTTTTGACTGCTGATTACTGATCATATATATGTATACATACTAGAACTATTTTGGAATGTGAAAATTTACGCATTCAATCTTCTGTCTACACCAACTGAGATATTCACTTTATATAATGTAGTTTGTTTAATATTTGTACACGGATTAGTGGAATCTTGAAATTATGGATTTGATAGGGATCATTTTTGCATTATTGGTGGGGACTGAGGGTTGCTGTGTGAGCTCATTTAGGAGCTTTTCTAAGTTTAATTTGATGATTCGAACTGTTTATATTGTAACGTTTATCGAGTTTATTATTTATGAAAAAAATTAAGCAAATCAAATATCTAGGCCTCGTTTGGGAACTCTCTATTTTAGTCAAAAAGTCTAAAAGTTACTAAATTATCCAAAAAGTCAACAACCCATATCAAAAAGTTAAAGATTTTTTTTTCTCTTTATTTTTTGCACATCTTTTCGTAAAAAGTCAAAAAGTCATCCCAAACATACTAGTTTTTTTTAGCTTATATTTTAGCCAAATAGCCAAAAAGTTATTAAATTAGCCTGTTCTCAAACGAGGCTCTAGTCTCACGATTAGGTTATAATTGTTTTAAAAAAATTATAAAAATTTTGTTAATTGTTTATTTAAAAAAAATGTGCTCTTTTTATGAGGTTATAGATGCCTAATTAATTTATTTTTTTGCATAGATGATTTATTTGACAATTTTATAATATTAACAGTTTGAATTATTGAAAGAAATTTGTGACAAGTCTATGTGGAATGTCCCTGTAACTTGTGTCATGAGGCACAGCAGGATTTCCCATTCCCATGGGGTGGTTCGTTAATATTTTTTATCCAGCAATTTTTGTCAGCATGAAGAATAATGCTCTGACGAAAAGATTGTTCTTAATTTTCATGTTGATGTGGTGAGGGGGTTGGGTTTTATTTAGGTTGGGTTTGGATTTGGTTTTTTCTAACATCCTAAATATTAGTTTTTTATTTTATTTTAAATTTCTAAAGAAATGAGAATGTAATTAAAAAGTTGATGGGACAATTTTTTAGTTGATAATAATAGCAATTGATATTCAGTGCTTGTTTGGTTTTTTTATTGGGGCTAAAAAAGTATAAAAAGACAAAATAAACTATATAAGTCAACAAGAAAAAATATTATTTTTTTATCTATAATTATTAATATTTTTTTCTTATAAAAGTAAAAAAAGTTTCAAAACAAAAATCAAATGAGGTTAAAAAAATTGGGTTAAAAAAATTCTAACACAAAAAAGTTGGTTATATTATTCAATGCCAAACGAATCTTAGTTCGCATTATTGGTGGTTATTTTGTAATGATACTCTTTTATACGTTTTATTAGGGATAGTTACGGGATGGGTATGTCATTCCTTGCCCTTGTCCCGCCTCAGTCTTAGACTGTTTTGTAGTTGTTTTTGTTGATGACATTTTGATCTATTCACCCTCTAAGAAGGAACACGAGGAACATTTGCGGATTGTACTTGAGTTGCTTAGAGTCCACAAATTGTATGTTAAGTTCGGGGAAGTGTGAGTTTTGGTTGAAGGAGGTGAAATTCTTTGGTCATGTGGTATCTAGGAAAGGGGTGACTGTAGGCTCTTCTAAGATAAAGGCAGTGCAAGATTGGGAACAACCTATGAATGTCTTTGAGATCTAGAGTTTTTTGGGGTTAGCCAGGTATTAGCGTCGTTTTGTTAAGGATTTTTTTAGATTGGTTTCACTTTTGACTAGATCAACGAGGAAGGGAATCAAATTTGAATAGAGCGAGACTTATGAGAAATCATTTGAAAAACTTAAAGTTAGAATTACCACTGTTCCAGTGTTGATTATTTCGGAGAGCGGTTTAGGCTATTCTGTGTATTGTGATGCATCTCGGGAAGTTTGGGTTGTGTCTTGATGTAAGAGGGGAAGGTAGCGGAATATGGCTTATGGTAGTTAAAAACACACGAGAGAAATTATCTAACTCATGATCTAGAGCTAACGACTGTGATCTTTGCCTTGAAAATCTAGAGACATTATCTGTATGGTGAGAGGTTTGAGGTATTTTCTGATCACAAGAGTTTGAAGTATCTGTTTTCACAGAAGGATTTGAATTTGAGCCAAAGGAGGTGGATGGAGTTCATAGAGGATTACGAATTTAAGTTACACTATCATCTGGGGAAGGTCAATGTAGTGGTCGATGCCTTGAATAGGAAATTCATTAGCAGTGTAGCTAGTATTGTCATCTAGGAATGGGAGATGTTGGGCGTTATTAACGAGTTTAACTTGCATCTTGGTGAGTCTGTTGAGTTTGCAGCTTTGTTTACTATAGTTGCCCAGCCTACACTTGTGAGCTGAGTTATAGAAACATAATGAGGTGATCACGAGGTAGAGTCTATATGAGAAAAGATATCTAGTGGGAAGACAGAGAAGGGTTTGAACATGTACTCTAACTCGAGTGTTAGATATCTTGATTGTCTTTTCATGTCGGAATCTTGTAGAGAGGAAGTACCCTAAGAGTTTCATCATTCACACCTTGCGATACATCTGGGAGGCACAAAGATGTATCATGACCTTAGTCACCAGTTTTGGTGGAGAGGAATGAAGAGAGACATAGCCTTATTTGCTTTGAGGTGCCTTACTTGTCAACAAGTGAAGGCCAAGCGTTACAGGCCAGCGGGTTTGTTACAACCCTCGCCTATAGCCGAGTGGAAGTGGGAGCATGTCACAATGGATTTTGTAGTGGGTCTTTTGAGGACTCAACATGGTAATGATGTCGTGGGGGTGATAGTCAACCGGTTAACTAAATTAGCACACTTTGTACTTATATGTATGAGTGACTCGGTAGATTATCTTGTTGACCTTTATGTTAGGGACATAGTTCGACTTTACGAGGTCCTTATGATACTTGTTTCTGATAAAGATCTGTGTTTTACGGCTTAATTGTGGCAGAGCCTACAAAATTTCTTCGGTACTAGGTTGACATTTAACACCGCCTATCATCCTCAAATTGACGGACAGCCAGAGCGTACCATTTAGATCTTAGAGGATATGCATCGGGATTGTGTTCTTGACTTTAAGGGGTCGTGGGGGAGGCACTTGCCTTTAATGTTGTTTACCTATAACAATAGCTTTTAGGTGAGTATTGCCATGGAACCTTTTGAGGCCTTGTATGGCCGACCGTGTAGATCTCCAGTGTGTTAGGCCAAGGTAGGTGACGCATCTATGATTGGTTCTGAGTTAGTTTGGGAAACGACGGAGAAGGCTGCACTTATTCGTAAGAGGTTGATTTCGGCTCAAAGTCGTCAGAAAAGCTATGCCGACCGTAGGAGGAGACTGTTATCATTTAAGATGTGAGATCACGTCTTCTTAAAGATATCACCTAGACAGGGTTCAATAAGGTTTAGGAAGAGTGGGAAGTTGTCTCCTACATTTATTGGACCTTTTGAAATCCTGGAGTGCATTGGGGAGGTGGCTTATCATTTGGCCTTACCACCACAGCTTTCTGGGGTTCATGACATGTTTCATATTTGTATGCTTCGAAAGTATGAGCCAGATCCATCACATGTGTTGGATTGGACCGAGATAGAGATAGATGAGAATGAATCATATGAGGAGAGACTGGTTAGAGTCTTAGATACACGAGACCAAGTCTTGTAGGGCAAGACAATTCCTTCAGTGAAAGTGTTGTGGCGACACCACGGAATTGAAGAGGCGACTTGGGAACGCGAGGCAGAAGTCTGCGAGAAGTATCCGTACCTTTTCGTTGATGTTTGAAACTTATAATGAAAATCTTGTTATGTTGATCAGATGTAAAACATTGCATATGTTTTGGAAAATGTGAATTATATATTCAATATTGAAAACCTTGTTTATTGTTGTCATGAGAATGAATGATCGATGGATAGATCATTGTTATATATTTAAATACAGTGGTTATTATGTTGGTTTTAAAATTTCGAGGACAAAATTCCTTAAGGGGGGAGGTTATAATGATTCTGGTTTAGACTCAATCCGTTTATTGTTTTGGTTCCGAGTTCCTTGTCTTATTTGGTTGTTCATATCCTTGTTCATCTTTTCCTTGTTGAATTGGGTTATTTAAATATTCTAGTTGTGTTTAAAACAGGTTGGGAGTTCGTTCTTCAAAGGAGTCTTTGCCTAGGTTTTGGTCAGTTTGCTCGAGCAGTCTTTAGAAGCTCTTAGTACTTTTGCAGGCTTGCAAAAGTATTGTTAGTGTGTTTTCCTCGCTCGAGCGGTCTTTCTTGTGCTCGAGCGATATTAGCTCGAATGGTCCTTCATGCGCTCGAGCAGTTAGCCTTTGTCTGAAAAACTTCTAAGAGTATGTCATTGTGCGCTCAAGCGGTACTTTGTTCACTCAAGCAGTCTCACTTATTGTGTTGTGATAAAATGATGGATTTCATCATTGAATTTGATTTTTAAAGGAATGGGGATTTTTGCCCTAAATTGCGATTATTTGATTTTGTAAAAGAGTAAATGGAAATGGTGTTGAGTTTTATAGAAGTGGTATGATGATGATGATCATGATGATGGTAGAGTTGGATATGTATTATCACTCCAATCTTGAAATTATTGAAAAGTTTATCTTTATTGAAAATTATCTATCTGTTTAGAGATATCTACTTTGGGCTATCGATGGAAAATAATTATGATTGTTGTAGAAATTGCATGAGAATTAGGAGAATTGAAACTAATTTCTCATCCATTTGCATTGGGCATTGTTTCATATTTAACACATTGAAAATGTATATTGTCTTGAGAAAAATGGGTGAATACCTTGGTGAATTTGGGTAAGGGGTATGGTTGTGGTATTATTGTTGGCTTGTGTATCCTTGGTCAAAGTCTAGAAACCTGTATGGTTAGTTGTCGAGCCTTCCAGTTAGTACCATTAAAAATGGTAATTGGTAGTGCTTGTATTGCCTACTTGCATACACGTATCTAGAGATTCCCAGAGTTGTATCCATTGTCCTAATTTTTGTTGTAAAGGAAATGATTTCATGAATTGTGATAATAAACCTGGCATGGCATGGTTTTTGGAAAGAGATATAAAATGTTTTGGCACGAGCATTGCATATGTATTCACCTTATAACTTTGTTAAGATTCATACACTGTGTTAGAGTAATTCTATTGGGCTTTG